AGACGAATAAAAAAATCTAAATAACCACATTTAAAAGGCTGGAATTAGTGATTTATTTGTTTTATGTAAAAACATTGTCAGTGATCAAAGTTGTTACAAGTTTCTATTCATCAACTAATTGCTTCAACCCTAATGATAAGTTGAAATATTGGTTTTCTGTGGGTATTAGTCTAGAATTGTCTCAATGCTAAAGGTCCAGTGTTTGAGATTTAGGTGAAACTGAATATAAAATAATCCTGTTTACAGGTGTTTTATCTAAATTGTACAATTGTTGTTTTCTTTACCATAGAATGGACCTTTATATTTAAATACTTTATATTTACATCAGGAGCAGGTCCTCTCTACGGAGGCCGCCATGTTTTTATCGTAGCCAGACTGGACAAATTAAAACACCTTTTGAGTTTTTATGACAACTTAGTCTACCACAGGTTCTTCTTCATGTTTGGAAGTGGAGGGTGAGGTGAGGTGTAATCAACTGCAACATGAACTTTTAAGATGTTCTCTTATGCCTAAAATTGCTTTACAAATAATGATCAATTAAAAATGATGCTGATCTGATTCATCTCAGCGAGTTCTCATCAGGTGTCTGATTTTGCCTCTCTCCTCTCAGCCCTGCTCTCCTGGTGCTGTCTCCCAGACTCCAAGTCGTTCAGTGAAGGAGGACGAGGCAGACGGTCAACCTCGGACGCCAAATCTGACGACGCAGCCACCAAGCAAACCCACAGGACCTAAGCCGGCTCCTCTGACCCCCACAAAGCTGCATCAAACCCCCTTGCCCTCCTCTCCGGTCCACTTCCCTGGATCCTCACTCCTCCACTCCCCCAAGCCTCCTTCTCAGGGCTCGCCCTACCGCAGCCAGAGGGCGCTGTTCTCCACGCAGCCTCAAAACCAGCCACAGCCCCAGGCTCAGACTGGCCCTGCTCCTTTTCCCCAGTATAACGCACAGAGTGCTCCTCCACCACCTCCCCCTCCTCCACCAGCGCCTCCAGTCTCCACGGCGTATTTTCCCAGCCAGAGCCCCTCGCCCGCTGGACCCTTCCCTGGGTTCAAACCTTCCGTCACCCCGCCTTACCCTCCCGGCTCTCAGCCCTTGATGCAGACTATTCCCCACAGTGTGCACTATCAGAGCTCAGCCGCGCCTCCTCCACCGCCTCCTCCACCTCCACACCCGATGAGCGGCCCCACTCTGCTGCACGTTAACCTGCAGCCTCCTCCCATCCAGCAGCACCAGCTCCTGCTGACCACTGCTCCCCCTCCGCCTCCTCCCCCTCAGGTTCAGACGTCCCAACAGCCGCAGCAGCAGCCTCTTGCAGGCGGCCCCTTGTTGTCACTCACGCCTCCTCCGCCGCCCCCGCCTCCTCCCCCGGCCCCATCAACCAACCCCCAGATGCAGCCCCACCACTTTCAGAACTTAGGGGGGTTTCAGCCGGCACTGATGCATCCAGGGACCGTAGCCAATCCTTCAGTGCCCCAATCGACGTACCCCCCACCCCTTCAGCAGAGCGGACTGCCTCCACCTCCCCCTCCTCCCCCCCAACAGACTCAACAAGGCCAGGCCCAGGCCGCAGCCTCCCAGATGCCTTCTGGGACTCGTGGAGCTCCTGCGTCCTCGACCCCCTTTCACAGCTCGGGGTACCTTAGCACAGGGTGGCACTGACCGCCCTCTCTGCTGTCGGACCCCCACCTCCCCACTCGGCAGCCCCTGAGAACTCAGCCTGAGAGGGGCGTGTACCATAAGCTGTAAATATGTTTTCTATGTACCTGAACACATGGCCAGTGGAAAAACAGCTGATTGTGGGATAAAAGGGTACTTTTTAAAATAAAACAAGGACAGAAAATTTTAGAAAAAAGGACAGTGAAATAATCTTCAAGACAGACTGTAAAAAATAAAGATGGACGATCCCCCGTCTACCCCCGGTGCTCATATCCCTCACTCTCTGGCCTCCTTTGTTTTGTATATCCTTCCTGCGACGGAGAGGAACGTTCTCTGTTCTGTGTCTTGTTCGGACTCCCGTTGTAAGGCCCCGCACTTTGTTAATCAATTGACATTCCAGCCTGTAAAACCCCCCACCCCCCTTCCTTCTTTTGTCAGTTATTCCTTTTACTTCCTCTTCTCTCTCGTCTCGTCGGCTCTCTACACCATTTATTTGTTTTAATCTAGTGGCTCATTATAGCAACAAGAAAGCTTTTTGTATAGAGAAAAAAAAACACAATTATTTTTTTTATTCCTCTGTCTAACAACAAATATCTGTTCACCGCTGCAGATTCAGAAAACACCCATTTCTGGGAGCCTGCCTCACCGCCCCGGGAGGCTGCACTCATGTGTGTGTGTGTGTGTGTCTGTCTGTGTGTGTGTCTGTGTGTGCGTCTGTGTGTGTGGCTGCTTTTGAGGAGGTGTGTGTGTGTGTGTGTGTGTGTGTGTGGTTTCGTGTAACGAGTGCTCTTAGTCTTCTGAAGTAGGCAGAGTGGTCTCGCCCACAGGTAGGACGTTAGCGGTTTATTTTTGAATATCAACGGTTATTTGTAGAAAGTGTAATTTAATGTATAGGTGGTTACTCCAGCTTTCACCAGGGACAGGTTGTAAATATTTGCTTCTTTTCTTTTCTATGCTTGTACAATTCGCTCCCATCCCATTTTGAATTATCGTTGTAAATATGAACGCTCTTCTTGGCAAAGCTGAATGTTTCTGTGACTGTAGCATTATTTTTATTTTATTTTTCTTCCCTCTCCAGACTCTTCGACTTTGTCCTTTTTTTTATTATTTGTGTGTGAGTGTATGTTTGTGTGGAGGGGAGAGACTCACAGACACTGCACTGGTTGGCTATTTTCATGGTTCATTATAATAAATCACTGTAATGACAGTTTTATACCACTTGTGGTGACCTGTGTCTGGGAAAATTTGTGCCACCATCTCTGAATCAAACATCCACTCTGGTTTTTCTGCCTCCAGGAGAAAAGACGAAGAAGCATTCAAGGACGGAGGAAAAGCTTGTTCAGCGCTGAATCTGCTCAGTCACGTAAAACATAGATAAACTGCTCTTGGTTAATCTGCTGGACGGAAACGCCCGCCCGACCATAAATCCATAAAACAAAAAAAGCTGAAAAATACCAGCGCACTGCCGCCTCCCAGTTCTTCTATTGTTACTCATGGATATGACAGCACGAGAGAGAAAGACCATAATGTTGTGTCCATGAGGAAGTGGTACAAGGTCAGTGTGCAGATCTTCTTCAGCATTTGCAGTTATAACATATTGAATTATGATAATTCACCTAAAAAGTTGGTTGATTGTTTAAATGATGCGTCATAATAAAGTGGATCTGAACAATAACAGAAAAAGACACAGCTGAGGCCGATGCCAAAACTGATATTTGGGTATAAAAAATGTACCAATACTGATAAATTGGGAAATGTGTGTATATATATATATATATATTTATATAAAAGGTTTTGGCAATGATTTCTACAATACATCTTCTACTACTGGTCAGACGATTCTCTACACTCATTGAAATTTATTGTATATTAAATATATTTTGATGCTTAAAAACAATTAGATTAACCAAAAAGGAGGCTCAATAATCACTTCAGCTCGTGTTAATTCTCGGTACAGACGGACTGAGCTGAACTTGATTGGCTCAGCTTGAAATGTCCTAAATTGGCCACCGTACACAGACGATCCACTGCTGTGGTGGTTGTAGGAAACAACAAGCTCTCTCCTCAGGCTCAGTCTGACTCGTGGTCCTGATCTGAGAAGAGAAAAACTCTCTGCTGTGTAATCATCGTTACAGCCTCGCTGAAATGGCTTTAAGCTTTTAGTCCAATTAGAACAAACTAATTGATAACGCACAATCTCATCTAACGAGAGTCAGAACTGTCGTTTCTCATGTTGGAGGTGCGCCGCCTCCTGCCAGGCCTCCATTCATGTGAGCAGATGGCCTGTGATCCAGAACCCTGCGAGCATGTCAGAGCTAATATTTCCATCCTGTCGTTAGTGTGATGAAGCTCCCGCCCTTCACTGCCTCTCGTAACGAGGACGAGCATCAAGCCCAACTCTCATTATGTGTTTCTCTCTGGTTTGGCAGAAGTTACTCCTCCTCCAGGCTGCTCACAAATCATTTTCCCAAACAGAAAAGTTGAGGGAACATTTTGTTTGAGGTCACAGCTTCAATGAAATAAGAGATAAACATGATTACCTCGAATGTATCATTAACTTTATTTAATCTTGATTTTAAACTCGAAGTTTTGACCTTCGGAATTCCCAGTATACGTTTACTCCACCTCGGAGTGTTTTGAAAAGAAGTCACTTTATTTTGAACAGAAACATCATATTCCTGACAAAATCTGGTGTTGGCTATTCTCAGGTGATGTTTTTTCTTGTCACATTTACGTATTTTCTTTTTTAATCCATACAGAAAAGAAACCCAGGAAGACACAGGGGGAAGGACTGTGACTGTTTATTTTAATTTATTAAGACAAACGTTCAAGTCTCCTTCAACTCAACAAGGTGAAACCTGGAAGAGCAAATGTCAAATGAGTCAAACTGAGAATGTCCTCTTATAAAAATAGCTTCATTAAATCAAAAAGCAAACATTCGCTTTCTATTTTCAGATTTCATATAGTTTGATAACATTCTTATCCGTGTGTTGCTTCACCCAGTTTTACACCCATCAGATTCTGTTTTTCATCTTAATTGAGCTCAGAGAATTTGCTGCATGTTTTTTTTGATAGTTTAAATTTTCTTAAATTTAAGTACATACTTTCTGTGGGAATCACCAAATTAAATATAATACTTTTAATTTGAAAAATATCACTATTTCAATGTCAGAACTATAACGAAAGGTTCCAAATATATAATTTATTGTTCCACATAAAGATTGTATCTGGATATAATTTTGGACATACCTCCCAGCCTTACTTTTAATACTACAGGAAATACAATTTAATTCCTGACAGGACTCAAAGAAGTTATACAATCCTCTGAAACAGTCGGCATGGATTTATTATTCATTTACATCATTACATTACATTTGTCAATACTTCTCAGCAGTGTGACTCAATGCTTCATAACAACGTCATTAATTATTCATCAAACTCGACCTGGAGCTGGTTAACAGCAGAAACTGGATAATTAAATGATGAAAATGGAAAGAAGGATTAAAAGATTTATAGATTTTCCAAATACTTTCAGAAGTGCAGCTAACGCTCCCACAGCAGGATGTAGAAAATATTCATGAATGAAATCCAAGACTTTTTAATACATTTGAAGTCTGTTGAGGGAAATGAAATCAACGCTTTTATTTAATATCCAAAGACGATAGATTTCCATTTTGTACATTTACAAAGTCATAAAATCAGATGGATGAACAAACGTGATTCTTTATCAGTTCTTAAAGTTCAACAATCAACAGTTTGACTCATTGGGTCAAATATTAAAATGACACTTTTATAATTGGTATTTGCTTATAAACATTTTTTTTGGACGCAACGAGCGATAACTATAATAATGTTTTTGCTAGCCGTGTCCCAGTCCTCGATGGCTTAAGCGGAGCAGATTTTTGTCTTTAAATCAATTTCTATTGTTCCATCATCCATTAAAAGTGTAAAGGTCAATGTCAGTTGTTTTTTAGTTGTGAAAAATAATATATGAAAAAAGTTAAAGCCACACTTCTTGCTCATTTAGTTTCTTGGGCCCTTCTTCGTACGCCACAACACTGTCAGATTACAGGACGCAGTATGGCACACACAAGAAATGGACCATTTTCAAAGTCAAGACAGTACAGTGACCTCATCAACACATCTACACACAGATTATAGTCTCCATATAATGTTTTCTCCTATTTAGCGCACTTTTTTTTTACTCTTTTTTTTTTCTTTTTGGGAAAGTTGTCACCAGCAAAACCTCTAATTACTACGTCATGTTTCTATCACATCAAACATTTAATTATAACAAAACATCTCTGTTCTTTCCGTTGTTCAGCGTTGAGATGTCTCCTCCTCTCAGTTGACAACACGAGAGGTCGAACCGGAGCTGAACTCCAGGTTTATCTCTGGGAGTTTGTTGACTTTGACGAGAGAGACGTTCCGACAGCTTTCACCTCAAGTCCTCCCTCTAAGTCTGGATCATTTCTGTTTTTGATTTGATTCAATTTGAGCAGCTGCCACGTCCACTGTCCCCGAGCTGATTTACCACATTAAGTCTTGTTTTTGTCCCTCAGCTGAACCTGTGGACTGAACCTCCCGTCCACATGGAGGCCGGAGAAAGTCTTTGAGAGAGTTCATCCTGCAGAAATAAGCAGTTTCAGATGACCGAGTTGGTTATTTTACAGAGGGAGATTCAGGGAGGACAAGCTCCTCCAGACCTCCTCTTGTTCTTCTTTAATCTGTCCACACATCAGCTCTGTGTCTCAGCCACAAGCTGCACCAGGAGAGGGCAGCTGGATCCTGAAGTAACATCACGTCTCTGCAGCAAGACCTGCAGACGAGAAGACGAGAAGGAAGAATCTGTCGCGTAAATAACCTGAAATGTATCAACTTTCCATGCTTTTAATTTGAAATTTCCTCTAGAAATTAAAGAGTAGGTGGGATAATTCTTCATTTCCCACATAAACATAATATACAAACTCATTCAAGCTTTTGAAAACTATCACAGTCTCATGCTCTCTGATATATAATTCACTTGATGCAGAAGATGATGCATGAGAATATTTCATCATGATGTAGCCGTATAAAAGAAAATCATGTGGTTTGAATATTTCCCTCAGTGCAAACATCTTTAACAGCCTTGTCCCACAGTTACACACAAAATGAACCTGATGAGGTTTTAAAAGCAGATTCTGACGGTGGTGGAGCAGTGAACAAAAGTTTCAGCATTAAAAACAAGTGAGAGGATTATTACTAATGATTCCACATCATTTAATTAAATCCATGTTGAGTTATTTTTTACTTTCACTTGAAAAACATGCTCACCTGTGTGTGTGACTGCTTTCCTCAGAGCGACAGCTAGATGGCGTTGTTTCCGCTCTCTGTGGGGAAAAACAGAGGCCAGGTCAGAAAGTACGAAGACACTTTTAACCAGCAGGTGGCGGTGTCGCATCAAGGTCTCTCCTCTACAGAATTTTTTTTTTTTTTATGAAACTTGATCACGTGTCACCTTTAATTGACCAGATAACAAAAAAAACATCCATTTAAAACTTGTTTTGTTCGATGAATCCTGTCTTTTCACATTTCGTGTATCAGCCTCTTCCTCTCTCTCCTCCTCTCCCTCCCCTCATTATCTCTCCCCTCTGTCTTGTCCTCCCTCTCAGGCATCTCTCGGTTGATAATGGCTCCTTCCTCCCAGTCACTTTGCTTATACGAGCTAACAGACGACTGTGTCCTGGGTGATAGGGCGGCTGTGATTCATTCCGACAGGCTGGCAGCAAGCTGTGTAAACAGCCATTAGTAATTCATGACTCTGTCCAGCATCCCCAGGCTTCAATTAACCCTTGATATCGGTGCATTCTTCCTCTCAGTCACTCATCTTCCTCTCTCTCTCTCTCCCTCCCTCTCTCCCTCTCTCATTGCTTTTTATCTCCGTCCTCCTTCATCTGTATTCTCCCGTCCCTCCTGCCTCTCCACTGTTTAAATAATTTCCTTCGGGTCTGAGTGAGTTTGTCATCTTGTAGGAAACAGAGCAGCGGCAGCAGGTGGTGGATAACATCCATCCAGTGGATGCAAATGAAAAACACTGTGCATGTGAAGATTATGGAAAATGGGATGTTTTTTTTATAGACTCAAGCAAAACTTAAATTCAAAGAAACCTTATAGCTAAAGCAGATTTTACATATCGGTGCTGGTTACAGGTTTCTTTGGTGATTCCTATATAATATGAACCACAAGGCTTATAAACAGCCCCAGACTGTGTGTGTGTGTGTGTGCTTACTTTCTCCCAGCAGCTCCTCTGACATCAGACTGTCCTGACGGTTTCCCAGGACGAAGGCCAGGAAGGAGAGGATGAGGGCGTCCATGATGCCCATGATGGCGAGGATGTAGGCCCAACGCACCGAGCAGGCGCCCAGCGTGTACTTGTCCGTCTGCTCGCCACACATCCTCTTCACCTCGTCGCTGTCCCAGCCGTCTGGGTAGATCATGCAGCCCAGGATCAGACTAGTTCCTGGATCAGGGAGGAGAGGAGGACGACAAGTGTTTTGTTTGTGGTGGACGTCGTGAATTCAAAGACAAGAGAGGAGGAGGAGGAGGAGAAGAGGCAGGATGGAGAGATGGAAGCAGGAATCTGTTTTTCCACATGTCATGGCACCACGTGGGGAGTCGGAGTGCTTTCATCAACCGTCTGCTGCGGCCGACAGGATGAAAGACGGAGCTGTTGGAGTCTAATGACACCTTCGCTGCAGACAGGAAGCTGTTTTCACATCCACACACTCAAACTCATCAATCCTCTGTGGGTCCCTAAGGTCTGTGATTAATTGTGGAATATGCTGCTCTGTTAGATCATCAGAGGTTTTGTGTGTCAGTGAGTTTTGTGCACTGGACATTTTGTGCTAGTGACATTTACGCCAAAGGTTTCAGGGCCACGCCATCGGTTTTACTCATGATGTTGACCCAGCAGTGAGGCCTTGTGGGAAAATGATGCAGCTCGAGTGAACTCACATGGAGTTTGAGTAACTAAGTAGATTCATTTCACTTTAAAGGTTTTGTGTTGCAGATGATTAAATGCAAATTATTCAATAATGGAGAAAAACCTTCAAATCAATTTCACCATAAAGTTGTTATAACTCAAATCGTTCGTGTTCTTTGTTGAGCCAAAGCATTTATTTTGCGAGTGTCTTCATATTAGAGGATTAGTTGCAGAGCTCTCTCCTGTGTAAACAAGCTGCTTTGCTCCTGTCGGCTTTTCAGCTGCAATATTAATAGAATGATCAGAGAGACGCTGGTTTGTGTTTCTACAGCCTGGAGTTGTCCCTTTTCTCTGAGGTTCCACTCATGGCAGGTTTGAAGCCTGAGTGTGTTGAACTGAAGCCACACGTGCAGCGCTCCCTCACCTGCGTAACAAAATGTCATGTTCTCCCTGACAGATCTCATTATCTTCCTCTAAGCTGCATCGTCAAAACCGAAGTGATTCCTGCAGGAACGTGCTTTTTTTCCTCGTTTTTCACTGAATTTAATCTTTGAGCTTCAGCCGACATGTCACTTTTTTCCCTTGTTATCTGCAAAGCTGAAAAACAGCTCAAACAAAAACTGTTTTTATTCCCAACACAGTCTCTGAAGTAGGCTGAGGCCGATCTTTTATCTTCTGCAAAACGGTTTAGTTTTTTTTTTTTGGCTCGCACGGAAATGTCGTGTGGCCACAAACAAAGAACAACAATCCGACAAAAGGCGCGCAGCTGCAGTGTAACGTGCAGCAACAACGGGGGTAAGCCAACGGGATCAGCCTCTTCATCTCCTGATAAATAAATTCCCCTCAGCTCGGCTGCAGAGCGGCCGGTGCACGGTCCCCGCCATAAATAATGAAAGACATTATAAAACCCGCAGATGAGGAATCATGTCGGCTCATTGTCAGTCTCCAGATGAGTGAAGCCTAAAAGCTCAGTTTTCACATGACTGTTCAGAAATGTTTAAAACAGGCTCATTAGGCGGAGGCCTCGCTCAGCGTGCTGCTGCTGCTCTAACACTGGAGGAGGTTCACACTCCACCACAGAGAGAAGAGTCTGTCTGTCTGTGTGTGTGTGAGTGTGTATATACACATCCACGGCCGAGCTGAGGGACCTGATTAAGGAGACATGATGGTGTAATGTGTAGCTCAGCTCACCCTCCTATGTGTCATTACACAATCTGATTATTTATTGATGCTCAGAGAAAAATGATCTCACCACACGAGAGGTTCCTCAGAATAACTTTGCCATTGAAAAGTTTTTCCAAGCATGAGCGTCCTCTTGGTGGTGTTGAAAGTCCTTGATTACACACACACACACACACACACACACACACACACACTCACACACACACACACACACTCACACTCACACACACACACACACTTTCCCTCTCCCTGAAGGTTTCCCAGCTGACAGCTGCTGGCAGCGACCACAGGGACAATCAGAGGAGGAGGTGTCAGCATCTAGATTTGTGTCCAATCTCCACATGCTACACACACACACACACACACACACTCACACTTACACACACTCACACTCACACACACTCACACACTCACACACTCATTATGGTGCAGTTCACAGCCCAGCTGTAGCTGTCTGCTTTGTGTGTTTCACGTTCCTCTAAACGTCCCGTCATTGGTGCGTGTGTGTGTGTGTGAGAGCTCATACTGTGTGCACTGTGCATCAGCATCAAGGTGGAGCATGGCAAATTATATTACTGGGAGTTAATTGGGGCAGAAACTGGCTGATGTAAGAAGGTACAAGGAGAAAATACCTCCTCCATCCCACTGACGTGTGTGTGTGTGTGTGTGTGTGTGTGTGTGTGTGTGTGTGTGTGTGTGTGTGTGTGTGTNTGTGTGTGTGTGTGTGTGTGTGTGTGTGTGTGTGTGTGTGTGTGTGTGTGTGTGTGTGTGTGTGTGTGTGTGTGTGTGTGTGTGTGTGTGTTAATGTAGTATATCAACTGCAACATGAATCCTGCTGCACACGGTTCTCATTAACTCCTCATGTATTCAGTCCACTGACTCACAGGCTGTGTCTCTGCTATCGACCTCCGGTGCATCTGATTGATGCTGTAACGTCGCTGCACTTCCTCTCTTTAAGAAGAACACGAACCTGTAATATAGAGCCAATGTTGTAGCAGTATTTGTGTGTGTGTGTGTGTGTGTGGTCAGCAGTGGAACCCATTCTCAATCGGTGTCATCAGATGTGTAAATTAGATTGAGATTTGTGTACGTGTCGTGAAATCTGTGAATGTGTGGGTACGTCTTCAAATGTGTTTATAGACGTTAGCAGCTGAAAAGACGCTTTTTTAATTTTTTCCCTCATTTTTCGCCACTGGTCTCAAATTTCACACACTCAGATATACAGACATACACATCCCTCATTTCTTTAAAAAGAAATCAAGATCCAGAAATGATTCTGTGGGAAATCAGTGAAAAATGTGAAAAATTTTGTAAAGGAGCTGTCCTCTCACTGTGGTGCTGAAAACCCAATCAGTCAATGTGGTGACGTCTGATTGTGTCCAGAGCCGCCCTGGATTCATGCAGCGCACAGGCTGAAACCAAAAACCATGTGAACGCCCCCTTGTAACAACCAGTGACACGTTGTCGTCACTGTGGAGGATGAGGAGGGAGAAGGGGAAGACAAACGGAGGATGAGAGGGAAGAGAGGGAGAGAAAGAACGATGGGTAGAGGTGGATGTGTGCAGCTCAGGCTTAGAATAACATTAGTGACAGTGTGAGTGAGCAGAGAGGTGAGTGAACGCTGGAGTAAATGAGGCAGGGCTGAATTTTACAAGAGTGGAATCCCAATGCTGCTCATTTGAGACATGAGGGGAATGAAAGTGTCTGTTTAAGCATTCAGTGACACACACACACACACACACACACACACTTATGGACACAACATACACTTCAGAGACACAACGCAGTCTCACTTCACTCAAGTCCAAACCGGCTTATCTTATATTTTAACTCTTTCAATCTACGGAAAAGCAACATTTTTAGTTCGGGGACGGTCCCTGGAGAGGAGGGAGCGATAAAACTGATTGAGGATCAGATTTTTTTTACAATCTAATCAAGTCTGAGCGCAGGGAGGTGCAGCAGCTCGGGTCTGATCTGAGAACAGGCCGAACACAAGTCTAGGAGTTACTATATGATTAGTGCTTCATCATTTATCACAGAGGGAACAGCTGACATTGATTCAAGGTTAAACACACACTCATTTAAAACAGTAAAAACTCAGCTCAGCTTAATAAACTCACTGCGTTTGATTTATTTCAGTTTCAGCCTGAAACAAACAGTTTAATATGAGGAGAAGGAGAATTTACCTTTTATAACAAATGTACTCGTAAGTTACACCATTTAAAGAATAATAATCAATTTCAATTTTGGACGTTAACTATCTCATCGCGTCCTGTCTTGTTTCTTCGCGGTTGAACCCCCTCTGTGCAGAGTCGAGCTGACGTTGCTTCTCCTTCGAAGACAAAAGGTTCAACAGTGTGAGCGAACGTAATGACGAGGCCTCGGAGCATCTGATGACACGAGAACAAAGGCTGCAAAAATGTGATGCATGTAAGCAAATGAGGATTATTTTAAGATACCTCCAGTGGGCCTCCTGTTTAAAACCTCTCAGCAAGACATCAGAGCAGAATCAAAGCTTTTCTTCTTTTAGTGATAATCTGCATAAAAGTTATTATGATAATCCTCCTGGGCGGAGGTATTGTTTTCCTGCTTCACATGCACGAGGCCCCGCTGCTGCCTGGCAGAACAAAGGAGACGCTTTCACAAGACGCATCCAAACACTGATGCGGCCTCCGATCGTGTTTCCCATCTTGTTTGAAGTCGGTCTCCTCTCCCAGTTTCCAAACAAGCTTTAATCAAAGCTTCCTCGGATTTCTTCGGAGCGTGGAACATGTTTGGGGGAAGTAAGAGGTCGCTTCCCAAAATGCACTTGAGGATGAGGAAGATGCTGCATCACCATGGAGACGGGGCCGCCTGTTGATACTGCTCCAGTGGGTTTTGTGCGGAGTGTCAGGGCGGCACCGACGCCTCGACGCCGTGGTGTGAATGTGACACAGAAAGCGTCTCTTGTTTTCTTCCTCTTCCTCTTTCAGCCCTCCTGATGAATACGTCAGAGCCACACACACACGTGAGCAGCACGACCTCACACGTCACCATCACACGCTCTCAAGTCAGGGGCCGCATCCTTCAGAGGCTGCATTTGAAGAGCAATGGCGTCACAGCGGCTTCACTGCACTTTGGCAATAGCAGGGTAATGGCGCCGGCGAGCGACGAGGCATCTGATGCTTGAGTCGCAGTCTACCTAAGGTCACATCCTCCAAAGTTGGCGGCCCAACCGAGCAGGAGGACCACAAACCTGATCCACGCTTCATCCCAGACTGAGGGAAAACATCTTGTATAGTCACGTTAAGTGGAGTTACAGGTCATGTGAGGTGAGAGGCGAAAACCACAGGAGCGTGTTTTGTTTTCTCTGCGTGAGGGTGAGGAGAAACCCAGATGGTCACTTTTTATTTCTGACACCAGACCCAGTGTTTT